GTTGTTATAATAAGGATGTGAAAAAGAATTTCTGTTTTTATTAGATAAAAGTATTATTACATTTGGCCACATCTATATTTTATTAATTTCTATTCTATGTCTGTATAAAGATGGGCTAGAATTTATGAGAAAACAAATCTGGTCACTTTTGGAATTGAAATGAGATTGAGAAGTGCAAAGTTCAAAACAATTGACTGGCTACTTTGTCAAGCACAGACATTCATCATTACTCGAACTGTTGTGAATTATATAGAATTTACTTCACAATGAATGTATGCATGTGCCTGGTCACGTAGACAACTAGAAATGATTCTGGGAGCAATTTACTTTCCAGTGGACGTCATGATTTTTATTTTAAACTAATATTTTATTAAATATAATACCGGAATAACACATCCTCAAAATTGAAGGATAATAAAAAACTAATAGAATGAAATCAGTTGTAGGATACAATACAATTGCCACAGTGTGTAGTATTCAGCTTTGTTTAAATTCCACATACTGTGATAATGTGTGATAAAGGATAATGTTAGCTTTCTTGGTGCGCAATTTGTTTAATGATTTTTTTTTTTCACTGATTGATGAAGTTTATGGTGTATCCAAGACCAGTATGTTCATGATATAAAATGAGACATACCGTAGGATGGACATGTATGGTTTATAATTTCTTATCTTCGTTGTTATTCTTAATTGTATAAATCTGCCTACCTATAGTTACGTGGCACTTTGTGTTACTCTGACAACCGCTTAATATTGCCAGCTGAGAAATTACCTTTCAAGCATGAAAATTTAGTAATTCTATTGCTGAAATTTTACCCCACCATTTTGTACATTTTTTATGTATTTTTCTCTAATTGTTTATTGACATTTTGCTTTGAATGCAGGACTTGATTTAATCTTTTTAAAGAATTGTCGGGGGGAAAAATGCAAGTTTATTAGTGATAAGTGACTCCGCAGTTCCAAATTTTAAAGGCTCACAATTTCAAATAACCAAATTTGTTTAATATTTTTGATGTCTAATTTTTCATAGAACATTAAAAAAACATATGCAAGCTAAAAATATTAATTATGACAAACATGTGGACACATGCTTGCTTTGTTCTGTTATTAATGAGAAGGTGAATGATTACCGGAATTTCCCCCATCATATTTTTTACTCACTAAATATTGCTTTTCTTTTTTCCTGTTGATGAAGATGGGTGAAAACTGGCATGGGTCTATGAAATGCATATGTGAGGTTCTTGTGGCCAAAATGGCTTTAAAATAGCTGAAAATATAAGTTAATGATTAATAATGTTCTTTTACTGAGATGAGAATAGTACGATACAAAACAAAGTGTATTTACTTTAAGTGGTGCAAACAGATTTTTTAGGCCAAAGTACATCATATTTTATTGAAGTACTATACAGACAATGCAATGTTTAGTTTAGTTTTTGACTCCTGTGTGCAAAGCACACAATTGAAGTGTCTGTACCACTGATCTCAAGAACCAATTATCAGATTTTATTGAAACTTGGTACATAGATGCTCTGGAATAATGCTCATCACTGTTTAGTTTAGTGAAAATCTGTGCATATTAATTACCTGATTTGCATATTAATTAGCCATTTTTTAGGCATTTTTCCCCCCATGTACTATTAAACAGATTTCAATGAAACTTGGTACATAAATACTTTTTGGTTGAAATCCATGTATATTAATGACTTAATTTGCATATTAGCCAATATTTAACTTTTCTATCAATATCTCAACAACTCAGCAAATTCAATAAAACTTGGTACATAGGTTAAATTTTGTTCTTGATAATTACCTAATTTGCATAAACACCCAATTTAATCACTCACTTTTAATGAAACTAGTAAATACAGTATTCATATTTGTACTTCATGCCTGTAATGCCTTCAGCACAAGGGGAGTTCTTTTCTAGCTTTATGTGCTTCTATTGGATATGTGCTTCTAATTGAGCAAATTAATGTTCTTCCAAGTTTTAATACTAATTCATTTTATTTGCTAGATTTGTAATCCAGTGATTTAATATGGCATTCAAAGGTCTTGGAGTAAATTTTGTGGTTATTAAACGTAATAAATGTCAAAGCCTTCAGGTTGGCATTTTGGAAGCCCATTATAGTATAGAATCTTTTATTGCATCCATTTCATATTTTGTAAGGGATGACGTCAAAAGATCGATGTCGGATAAAAAACTGAAACTTAATTGATAAATATTGGTCATGGCGTCAGACTACATTCACCATTAAATACAAATTGATAATCGGACAGTAGTATTGCATAGCAGTTGGCTGTAGGGTGGGTGTAAAAAGATTTTACAAATGCACCTTATTTGACGCACAGATTTACACTCGAACCAAACCATTTTTCTGTTTTTTTCCTTTTTCGGTTATTTCTGTCCATGATTGGATAGAAAAAACGAACTACAAATACTCCAAGATTTTTTTGACTTCATTAAAAAATAAAATCATTTTTGTAGGATGGGAACTTTTTGAGGTCAAAACCCCCCACCCCCAAACTAAAGGAAATAAGTTTTTTATCCGACATCGATCTTTTGACGTCGTCCCTAACAATGAAAAAAGCAACAAAAATTGGAGAATGAATTAATAATTAACTTGTTTATTATTGATAGTTTGTTTGTCACATGTTTTTATAATTGTTATAAATTCTTTTGTCTAGATCTTTGAAGTGCTATGTTCCAGACCTCTATAATTGCTAACTTTATTATACAATGCCTGTCTCTCTGTTTTTCATTGCTTTAAGTCCTGAGGCTTATCTTTTCTTGCCATGTCATTCATTCTGTATAATATTTCCATTTTTTTATCAATTTATTACTGTATGGTACTGTCTATGTGATAATTAGTGTCAGGAAATGTGGCATGGCACTGAAATGTTTGAAAATATATTAAAGGATGTCCACTGTATAAAGGTTCTTAATTATAGATTGCTCTCTCTGGAAACGTACAAATTAAGGTTTGAATAAATATAATGTATACTACATGTACAAAGAGGGATTGATAGGTTTAATCCTTAATCACTGTATTAGTATTTATTGCAACCGTGTTGAAAAAAAAAAAAGATTTATGATGGAGAATAGAAAATTTGTTTAATCCATGCAATGAAGACAGTGATGGCAATTGTTGCAGTATGAAAGTAGTTGTGCAATGCCTGGCAAAATTATTCACAGCAAGAATACGGTCAGTTTTAAGAGAAGGAAGAAGCTTGGCTGGGCTTCCAGATTGGAAAATTGGTAGCTCATTTATGATTGTCATACTGGGTAGTTCAGAGTTTAATTGGTACTAGCAGCAAAAATGTCAACACGAATATCATTTGCTCAATTTTTTCTTTGTATTTGGGCCACTGATTTTAGAGAATGGTAGCCCAAAGAACCAGTTGTCTCTATACTCTGATTACTGTTGATTTTATGCCCTAGGTGACCGTTAAAGGCTGCACATCGAGATGACCTCCATTAATAATCCCAAACCTTGGTTTATTAGTAGCAATGTACCTGACAATTTACATTATTGATAGCGTGCTTGATCTAGAGATAAATAAATCGTCATAGAAACCCTATAACTGGCTAAGATTGTTTTCATCCTGGAGAGATTAAATGCACGAGTCAAAAATTGCCTTTGTGTTGTATGATACGTGATGTTAACAATATGGCATATATATTTATAACAGCATGAAAATCCCTAGGATTCCTGTCTATGCTGTTCTCATGTGTGTACATTGTACCATAAATATTTTACAGCAATCTGTGTTCATTTGGTACTGTTATAGCTTAGTATACTACATACTTAAAAAAAAATTACCAAAAAATAAGGCAGTGTTTAGAAGTGTATATGCATGTTCTTCATGATGATTTATGCCTTAAAATATGAATTTGCTAATAATATTTGATTCATATGGTCTTCACCAGAAAGCCCTGACATTTACAGTAATTGCTCTATATCTAGATTTGTCATTTAGTTAATGTATTCTTTTTTTGTATCTACTCAGTACGTTTGTATGTCCTACTGAACTGATAGCATTTAGTGATGCAGTTGAGAAGTTCCGTGGTATTGGATGTGAACTCATTGCTTGCTCAACCGATTCACAATTCTCTCATCTTGCCTGGTAGGTATGAGGGTCTGTCCCTTTGAGCTCCATTGACTAATCTCCATTCAGTCATGTAAAAAATGTATAGATTTTACATTACCTTTATCAGTGTATTAATCAAACTCAAGAGGGCGCCGTTTGTACAGATCTGTAATATTCACTCTTGAAAATGCAATATGAGCACTTACGTGAGCAAAAACAAGCTTATTTCACTTGTCTATTTCTGTAACTTGTTTAAGACAACCCAAAACTTTGTAATTAGTGTTTCTTCTAGGATTTTAATTTCAACATGCATGCCACAATCATTGTGCAGAGCTCATTAATATGTGATTTGCCATATTTGTTTTCTCATAAACTGAAATGCATAGTATGCTAGTTTAACCATAGACAGATCACATGTAATACTAATAGAGCACAAATATTGTAAATAAACATTGTATGCATGTTTAGCATGGGTTCCATATTGAAAAGGATGTGGTGTTGACAACTGAAAAAATAGTTGCCACAATTACTCAGACACTGAGTGTGAAGGCATGTATTGGACTTGCAAACTGGATTTCATTTTTGTATTTATGTGGATTTCATAGGACCAATGTGCCTCGCAAGAAGGGTGGTATTGGAGACATGAACATGCCACTGCTAGCTGACCCAACTGGAACCATCTCCAAAGATTATGGAGTGTATATTGAGGATCAAGGAATTGCTTTCCGGTAAGAAATTTTTACAACATGTCTATAATTCAATGTACACATCGCTGTCAGTAGTATACTATTTAACGAGCAAAGTTATCTTCAAAAGTCTTGCTTTGTGTAGCTTTGATCTTGGTGGAAAGTAGTAGAGCAGGACATTCCTTTTGATTACTCTGTTCACTTATCATTAGTGCAAATCAAGACCCACAAGAGCTCATTATTCATCTAATTGAGAACAGTCACTAGTTCTCCAGCAAGTTTTGAAAGGTATATAATTGGTATAGTTTAATTGGCACAACTGTCACTGAATGCAAAGGAAGCAAGGTTAAGGTGCCCATGTAACAAGTTCAGCCTCTCAATTTTCTTGTAATTTCACTGTATTTATATTTGTACACGGGTAAATGCTTCTGTTCTGCACAGTGTTGCATCTTGGTGTCTGTATGTATGTATGTATGTATGTTGAAGCGAAAGAGTCGTCACCTGCGCATGCGCCAGATGGCCATATCGTGACATTGTTTACAAACAAGCGTCTACCCATGAGTCTTTGCATTTTTAGTGCGTGTTCTCGCATGTGTGTATGTGACGACCCTCTCGCTTTAAAAGACATCTTCACAGGTCAACAGCAAGAAAATCTATCGCAGTACGAACAGACTCATTATGAAATCAACATCTCACACAGGACCCAATATCTAATGAAATGATTACTTGTATTACAGTGGTCTATTCATTATTGATGGTAAAGGAATCCTTCGTCAAATAACAATCAATGATTTGCCCGTTGGACGTTCTGTAGATGAGACATTCAGATTGGTACAAGCTTTTCAATTTACTGACAAACATGGTGAAGGTATGTATTCAGCATGGAGTATTCCATCTCATCCCATCTATTATGCGACTGACCAACTTGTTTTCTTTCACATTCTTGGACGATATAAAAGTACCCTGTATTGGTAGTTCAACATAAACCATGATTCTTTCAGTTGTAAGAGTTGATTAAATGTCTTATGAGTTCATGCAAAAGTACTATAACAAAATAATTTCTGTATTTTCTGAAAGAAAAATTGCCTTATTCACTAAACGTGAACCTTGTGAGATATTAAGAGTAATTGGTATGAGAACCATAGACACACTATTAAATATAGTGCCGGTCATTACTATAGTGATTTGTCAATATCATAGTGTTGGGTATAAGTGGTAACACCTAGTACAGCTAGGAAATACAAGCTCACTATTGAAGTGTTATTTTGTTTATTACAGTTTGCCCAGCTGGCTGGAAACCAGGTGATGACACCATCAAACCAGACGTTGCGAAGAGTAAGGAGTACTTCTCTAAACAGAAATAGGAATACCATCACTTATTGCAAATTATTATTTAAATGCATTCCTGTATTTCACTGCATTTCATTTCAATATTTTAAGTCATTGTATGCAGATATTTGTTCATCTTCTGTAGTTTTGTTAGTCCTTAGTCACTTTGAAAAGCAATGTAAAAGTTGTGATTTGAGTAGCTTGAAGACTGATTTTTTTTTAGCTGGTAGGCTGTTTGGATTGGGTCTATTTCATACTCTGACAAAATGTCCATTTTTGTACTAACTTAACACACAAGAGGTGAAAATGCAACACTTGCAAATACCACATAGATGTGTGCCTTGTTATTACTTGACATATCACAAAGCTTTTCCTTGTTTAGTACTGAAATGGTAATTTTGGTAGGCTCAGGTTTACATACAGATTGAAAAAAATGAACAAATTTAAAAAAAAACAGTTCACGCTTTTTCAAACTAATCAGTTACGTGCAATCATAAAAGCAGGTTCTTTGCACAAGGCTTGGAATCGCTTCAGAACACTAGTATAAGTATTTGAGTCTTAACAAATCTCATTTATTTCTCACTTGATTCACAATACTAAATTTTCAATGTGATATTTGGATACAAGTTAACTCATGGTACTAATGAATTCTACTAATCAGAAACTTAGTTTGGAAATTATTTTGATCAAATGACTTCTTCAATTAGACATTCTCTGATTTTCTAAAACTATTCAAGTCTGTTAGCTAATGAAAAAACATGTTGCATGTGAAACTATATGACTAGATTAATTTGTATGCAAGTTTTAAAACTGATTGCATGAATTCCATGATATTTTATAACCATTTTTTCCTTTTAATTTTGTGTACAAAGAGGTATAATGAATCAACTAGTAGTTCTGAATAGCAATTATATTTCTGAGATGTCGATTGATATTCATCTGGTATGTTCATACATGGGTCTTTTTGCTGAATAATTTATTTGTAAGTCTTTCCCAGTGCTGCATTACAGGTTTTATTGCTTGACATGTAAACTGGTAGTAATTTGGAAAACTGTCACCGCTATAAACTGCATTTGTGAATCTTTTCAGGTTAACAACTTTCAGTTCATGGTTGAAGCCTGTTTAATATACTGAAACAAGTTTACTGCCATAGTTTTCAATCACTTGTTTTATGTAATTTTATTTGCAATAATTCATTGTTTATCAAAATAAAATTAGTTCTGACATGTGCTGTATAATGCAATACAAATGAAATATCTGTCCCCCCCCCCCCATCCTACAAATATATAACCTGCTCCTATCTTTCCAGTCAAAAACAATTTATGCTATTGTGTTTGGGGGGATTTTATTTTTCAAGAGGGTTCCCGGTGTCCCTTTCAAATTGCTAGTAGGAGAGATAACTAGTAATCGCCGTATTGTTCCGGCCCTAGGTTCACGCGACTGAGTGACATAATTTGAAAACATTCCAAGTTCCTTCTACGAAAGCGTGTCTGCAATATCCCTTCAAAAATTCCGCCTGCTTAGGCTTCATACTTGAGGTGGCTATTTTTGTGCAAAGCAATACCGAAACAACACAGTTTTATATTTGTGAAACTTTTGAGATCAAAAGGAAAATCGTGCTTTATATATAGGACCATGAGTGCAAGTGCTGACATCGCGTAAAAAATTGGAAATAGAACAAAGAATGAGAACGTGGTGGTCCAATCAGAATGCAGTAAACATTAGTTACTGGTCTCTTGTGGCTTAGTACGCCATGACACGAGGCAGAATTGTGGTAAAAACAAAATAATCATATTGGGGGCGCTGTTCAAGCTGACATCTCGGGCTGCTCATGCAAGTTTGCATCAAAGCTCAACAAATAATATGTGGAGTAAGATTTATCTTTTTTTTCAGGATTTTAGCTTCGTTATACATGTCTGGATTTATGAGTGACGCCACTGTTCACTGCTGTTAAATATACATGTAGCAAGCTTTAAGCTGGTTCTGATCCGGAGTACCATTTTTCATGGTGCATGCTGACTGTGGTCAACAAACTTGTAGAATACCAACAGCCAATCACAAGAGTCTGCTGTATTGATAGGAGATTGATTAATTCATATACTGAACCACGGTTTCTAAAAAATATAACCAAACAGTTTTGTACTGTAACCATTTAAGACATCACGCAAATATACAAATCTTTTATGAGTGTGTTGTATCTGAAAACTTGAACTCGCATGGGTGCCTCTTTTGTTGTTGCCAAAATTGGGCCCCCTATATTTTTGGTGGCCTAGAGTGGACAATAGGTTAATGCAATTCCTGCAGGAGAAAATTTGAACTGAATTGTAAACCCTATCCAATAGACGCGTTTATGTTCACTGAGTTTATGAAATCGAATGTAAAAACAGAACGAAAGTCATAGCGTAATGACGTCTAAACAACCGCAAAACTTTTTTATGCTCAATATTTTGATATACACATATGATGATGATCAATTTTGCTGAAGTAATTGTATCTCAATGCCAAATTCTCACCTGGGAGCTCTGCATATTAGAATTGAACTATAAAAAGAGAAGTTCATTTTCAAAATCAAATTTGATTATTGCAGTTGATGTTCAGTCTGTGTCTTTCAAGCATTATGCGAGATCTCGCATAATCTATGCTTAGGTATTCCTAATCTTATAACCAATCTTAAATAGTCAGTGTGGAAATTTTGACAAAGTAACACTTTTTATAATATGATCGATATGTTTTCAAGTTAAAGTGTGTTTTGGGGTCACAAAATATAGAGGAGGCAATGGCCGGGAACACTTGTAGCAACGTTTAAAAAGGACTTATGACAGTGCATCTTTAATGGAATTGTAATTGGTAGGTAGGTATTCAAAGTCAATTTGTATGCTTGCGCAAAGATTCACTCTACTTGGCCCACGAGGTATTGGAGAATAACGCTGGTTTATGCTTCCGGCAGGGAAAAAGTCGAGAGTACTGTCACAGTAACCTTCATTAAATAAATTTATCAATGAAAATGTGTCCCAGCAAGCGCCACCTGCTGGCTCCTTTTTGAATACAGTCAATGCGAAAAGTTTGTTTCGATCTAGAATAATGTATATTTTTTATCTGCCAAACATTTAGAACTAAACACTAACATTGAGGTTACTAGTATCATATCATGAGGGCAAATGTGTTTTTGACAACCATTAGGCCAACTAATTGGTGAATCAACTTCGTACAAAGTTAAAAATCAAGAGGTGAATAAATCTTAAATGCAGAGTATGTATATAAAATCCTTCAAGGTAGAATAGTAATGAGTCTTTTTATATTCAAGGACTCGGGGGGGGTCGGGTTTCTTCTATTCTGTCCCTATTTTTAAATGTGTGTTTTTTTACTTGTGTCTTCTGTTTGAATCGTAAATTTAATGTAATAAATGTCCTGGACACATTTTGTGAGATTCTTGAAATTTGGTGCTTATATGTATAGATAAACTTCATTCCACACAGTAAGAGTGTGCAGTGTTTCGCGCCATCTACGACCACTACCAACTATTTTTATTATAGGGCGCAACGCACATGGACGCCAACTATGAAGCATTTATTACATCTGCTAGCCACGTCATAATTTGGGATCCGAAAAACTAGTTTTAATTTATGGATAATTGTTTTTGGAGAGAGCTCTTGGGGGAGGGGGTAACTGGGGGATAATATTGTTGGACTTCTTCCGTAAGAGCCTCATTTGTTTTATGGTATGATAGTTCAAGACCATATTGTACGTGATAATATAAGTCATTTTTCGTCAACACAAACGTGTATAATTGGAATTGTAACACGTTTTTAAAAGTCTGACACAGATAAAATTATAATCAGGAAACACTTTGGATTAAGCTTTTATTTCGTAAGTAATTTACTGGAATCAGACTACAAAGGGAAACAAAACAAAACAACAACAAATTCTAAAGTCTTAATATGACACGCGTTGGTGAGTCAATTTAAATGATTCATGTCAAGACAGCCACTACACACGTACATCATCTCAAACTTATTTTTTTAGGCATCAGTCTCAGATGTTAATTTTGTTAGATATTATGCAAGATCTGTGTCAAATTTAGTGACACCCACAGTTTATTTGCTGCTCGCAGCATCTCATTAACATAACAGTGATGGATGAAATACGTCGTTGACCGAGTGTTGTTAACCCCAAGTTCTCCTACATTACATATAACTGTCATCTGAATACAGCTCTCCGATGACCAATTCATTAAAATAGTGTTTCCATTCATATTGACATCTATTCCTCCTAAACAAGTAAAATAAATCATGTTAAATCATATTTGTTATACACAGTCAATACTAGTGGATCGACTCACAATCTAATTTTGGAAAGTTGTTCCGATGAAGAAAATTAAGTCTATTCGCTCTTGTGTTTGCGAGCAAAACTAGTAAAAAACTACGGAATTTCCCCAATCTTCTGAATGGTAGATGAGAGTAATTATTCAATTTATTGTTTAGAGATTTATTAGAAGCCATTTATTTATTTATTTATTTATTACATGCCAGGGAAACCAACTTTTTGGGGAAAGTCAACCCAGTGATAACAAATCAGTAATAATGATAGCCAATGGCGTGAGGAAATTTATTTCAAAAACATATTTTGGATGTGGAGAGGCTTCAAAGGGATAATTTATATACCTAGTATTGTAAAGTAGGTTTAAATAGTTGTTGTTTTGATATTGCATCTTTATAAACAAAAACATTTTTCATATGTACATGTAATAGAAAACGTTTAATTTATATTTATTGAAATTTATATTAAAAAATGTTGACATTATAGTGAGTTACATTTTTCTCGAAAAGAACAAATCTGATAAAATACGTGTAGTCAGTCAAAACATGTCCAATATAACATACTCTGAATAGATGTACACTTGAAAGTGACTTTCGGTTCTGTTTTTGCCGATATGATAAGTTCGAATCTAACGACTACAAAGGTTAACCTATTTACATTTCAAGTTGTCGTAGTATAGTACAAAGCATAAGGAGAGAAAATGTCGGACGCATGGAAGTTTTGCCGACTTGTATATAATTGACAAATCTAGGCAAACGTAAAAGATCAATGAGATGATAATAAAATACTAATAATAAGTACATGTGTGCGAGTCGTGGACGATTGGAAATTGTTGTCATGAATTTTATCTTGAAATGTCGAGGTTTATATAATGTTCCTGCCAAGTGATTCCACAAAGTATATGGACCGTGTGAGCGGACGATTGTATCATAGACCTTAGAAAGGTCTATGATTGTATGCACGGTAACTGTCCGTTGAAATTGTGAAATAAACAATATGAATATTCATGATATGTTATACCGTAAAATACTTTATTTTTGCTGGAATTAATTTTCGCTGAATAGACTTTTTGCGTGTTTTCTATGGATTTAATTTTAGCTGTTTTTCAGTTTGACGTGTTGAATGTAAAATATAGAAAAAAGGTGTATTCGCTGGATTTTATTTTCATTGAATCATTCCTTCATCGAAATGAGCGAAAATAAAGTTTTTTACAGTAGTACAAACACCAATTAAATGACCGAAATTGAGTCCAGTTGCTGTAGATTCTTCTTAGTACAGTCTGTACTAATCAGCTATTTCCTCCAACTTTATAAAATCCATAGAAATCTTGTAATATTCCCAGAACTTGACTTAATCCTATTTGTGGCTATTCTAAGAAACTCGGAAATACTGTGTATAAAGCCCAACTTGAACAATGAAGCATTATTCTTCTTCTTCTACGTAGATTTTATGAGTAAAAACATATTTCCCCCGGCTCCATCGTGTTTCAGGGAAACTTTATCGGGAAAGGCAACTATATATGGAATGTGCTGCCGAATTTCATTAAGGGAAAATATGTCCATATGTTAATTAAAGCGCGGTAGTCGTCGAGCTGCGCATATCAACGAGTACGAACTGACACGTTTCCAAGCTTTAATCAGGTAATTTTCATGTGATTGGAAGGTATCGAAGGAGTCACCGGCGGTAATCAGTGCAAGTCGCGCTCAGGTCAAACCTCATACTTGTGATTTCCATTTGAAGAGCGCATTGGATTGTGGGAAAATCAATGTTTATCAACACAAATATCGAACATGCGCAGCGCGACGTCTACCGCGCTTTAAATATATAAGTTCTATTAATTTAATATTGTCTTGAATTAATTTTAAAAGTGTGCAACTTATGAAATGTTGACAAAATCACCGATCGGAATCTACCCTAAATGTTGGAAAGTTTCGATCAAATTCTATAAAACAGAATTACCCCCCCCCCCTCGGTAATGTTCTACCTTTGATTACTGAATTTGCAACATGCAAGTTTAGTAATGGGATTCCCTACCACTCGTATTGTATTGTGGTGACGCGATGACCGGCGTGATGACCTTGCCTAGCCTGTAGTCAGTCGCCAATTACTGGGATCTCATGAATGAAATAAACAATCTTGCATTTTAAATTTGGGATTATTAGATGAACTTCGCTCACCCACAGTTGTGATGTTGTAGTATTTTTGTATTTGTATCTAAAGACTGGTAGCCAGAAAAAGGATTTGTTTTGCATCATAATAGAAGACATTTCGTGAAACTTGCACCAGGAAGTTCCTGACTTACTACACCGTTTGACTCGGTGACACGGAAAATACCAGTAATATAACTTTATTGAACCGTGATTTAGACACGGTGGAAATAGAGTATAACGCATATACGTTGGATGTAGTTAGTCACACACTCATGTAAGCCGGAAGTGCGGTATTACGAGTCCCACATCAAATGGAAATGAAAGTAAATAGCAGGTTGTAACGAGACGTTGAATTTCGGGCGGGGTGAATTTACAATCGACCGCGGGTCCCATACACGGTGGCCGTAAACACGTTAGCCCAGAGAGTCATCAGTTGAGTTTAGATTTCACATGGTCCGGAAATATACCCTTATTTCAGGTTGGATTGGATGGGTGGGGGTATTTTGCTGTTTTTATTTCAACTTCGTTTACAATTGTGCTGTGTTTTACTAAGAACTGATACATAATGTTTCAACTCAAAACAGTGGCGGATCCAGAGAGGGGGCGGGCATGCCCCCCAAACGCATGACGATTCATATCATCTGGATTACGCATAGCTTCTCTGCGATTTACGCTCCGTACTAGTAATTTTAAGCCAAGCCCCCCCCCCATACATTTTTCTGGATCCGCCACTGACTCAAAACTATCTAACAGATCCACATTCCGTGGTCCGAATATTCGAGGATACCAGGTATTCATTATACTAGTATACTTGAAGGTTTCCTGTACATCATACACCAATCACATCACACCCCCTCCAATATTCTCACATAATTGTCAATTTGTACAATATGAAGAAACTTTCACTGGTATGATATGAAAATATAAACGATGTTGACGTCATTAAGAATTGTTTAGTATAAATAAAACATTTTAAACACAAATGCCTTCGTTATGTTGTTGACTCAATGGGCGTATGAGGGGTTGCTATATTTACTATATACTTCAATTGCGAACAAATCACGGTCAAAGATAACCGACAGGAGTATAACATGGATTACGTTGGCTGGTTGGCCAGAGTAAAAAGTAATGTTATTGATACAGTCGTTGACAAAGGTGACCGACAGCAGTAAAACACACCCACTTCGTGTATTCGCCGAACTGTGAAAATCTCGATTTGCCGAAAGACGTGACGCAGAGTTCCGCTGCAAGTAAACTATAAAATGAGACGACACGGCACCCACAGCACCAGAATTCAATCAGACAGTGTACCTGCCCGTCAACAAACGACCTTAAGATATCAGGGTACGTAGCAGGCATATTCAGCGTTTTTTTTAACAGGGATCATTTTGTTCATATTAGTATAACACCATATTTCATATTACCGTTTCATTGACATTTATATTTTTATCCAATACAGATAAAAGTTGAAGATCGTTCAAGTTATTGACCATGAATATCAGTCCGATGTCAATCGCTGTTTTGGTGCTAGTGTGTGTCAATGTGGCGTTTTCTATTCCAACCATCTGTAAGTAGTATCATATAAACACTAAATAGTTATTAGTAATTTGTTCAGCATGAAGTCCTGGTTTGTTTTTAATCCGTCGTTTCCATTGGAAAAATACATGTAAAGTGTGGAAATACCTTCATTTTCTGACGTAAATATTTGTTTAAAATCGTGTAATTGCTAACAATTAGGAATGGTTCGCCAGAAATCGATCGAAGTTAAAGGACGGTGGTCGTCGCGATGCATGCTGTATGAATATTGGATTCAAAGTGACGTACACAACGAGTGTGAAACACTCTCGGACACGCTCTGCACGACGACCACCGCCCTTAATTTTTTCGATTTTCGTCAAAGTTTCATTGTCGCATAAAATTATTTTTATCATGTTCATCCTCTCCTCATTTCCTCATCGTCACTAGTATTCTGCATAACACACATTGTCTTATTCATACACAGTGGATTCGTGTTTTTCTTTGTCACGTCACTTCGGAGATCCTCCATTTGAATGTGTGAGATGGGAGAACCCAGCTCAGCACTGTGTCCGACCTGACTGGCACTGTGACAGCATAGTAGATTGCCAAGATGGATCTGATGAACTGGCGGATGAATGCGCTGAACAATTTCAAAGTAAGGGGGATAGTTGCACCAATCTGATCACTATGTATATTATTAGTAATGTGTATTTATTCTTTCATATCAGTGAGCGAATTATACATTTCGAACATGTAAATATGTTGCCTGGAACAACCAAACAACAGGAACCGCACCGCTTAAAGAGGGGGAGTCGTCACCTACGCATGCGTCAGATGGCCATAGCGTGTCATTGTTTATAAACAAGCGTCTACCCATGAGCCTTTGCGTTTTTAGCGTGTGTTATCGTCGGTTGGGACTCAATTCCCGCGCGTGCGCAGGTGACGACCCTCCCGCTTTAATGCCAAATCACAATGTTCACTCGAAGTTTTCATGAAGTCCCCAGCAGAACATTTTGAAATCACTTTCCCCAAATTCACTGAAAATATAATAATCTGAAATAATTCATTTTCACTGCATTTAATTTAAGTTTTGGGCAATTTCACTGGATTTTAAGTTTATGTACTTGGCAGGAAAACATAGAATTTTATTTGTGTGTGTTTTTACATGTTCATATGGATTTAATTTGGCCAAATTTTACTTATCAGCAAAAATAGCTAAATTAAAAAAAAATTAATAGTGTTTTTACAAGTAACATCTCCAATGCCCTCGCTTACCAAACTAAAATTTTGTTGACGACGCCTGAAAGAAATTGAAATGAATATGATTGACCTTTAACACAATTAACACCGTTCTTGATAAGATATGAATGTATTATCGCATTTTACTTATACTATGTATTTTATAACAGGTTATTGTGACAACGGATTTATTGGAAAATATTTCAGTGACGGGAGCCTACTGAACAAGTACCAATGTGACAACGGTATGTGCATTGAAGAGTGTCGTCGGTGTGATGGTGTATATAACTGTGCCGATCTCAGCGATGAAGCCGACTGTGAAACTATCCAATCAGAGAACTGCACCCTGCAACACCATGGACAAATCACTGAAATGCCAGGAGTCGATCTATTTTAATTCTCGCGATATCATTGCAATCTCGAGATTGTATTTCAACTTTTGCGGTATTGTTTTTTCGAGATGCAGATAATCAAGTATCCGTTATACTCTTACACGAACGGGCGTTATCTGTCAATATACAAGAAGTCATTTACTAATCATGTAAATATGTATATTTTATGATAAGATATTTAACACCAACGTTGTCAAACTGTTAACAGTATTACAATATTATTTATTTGTTTTCTAGGTACTAATCTGCATATTTATATTGAATTATATTATGTTATGTATTATATACATATATATTGTATTGTATTGTATTGTTACAGTATTGGTCCAATAAATTACATTACATTATTCATGTATGTTCTGTGTTATACGTCGCTGTCGTTAGAGGGCATGGGACGCACCGACCGAGTTTTGTCGAATAGACAATTATCAAGTTTCAAGTTTTCGAGCATATGCCATAGTTGCCAATGCACGTTATTGAACGTATTTTAGGCCACTATTTTGGTATTTGCTACTACCGTACTTTGGTACCGAACGGCCTAGGAGGTGCCAATAGAGGCAATTGAATGCCGCTAATGAGTAAGCGCATATATTAACTACATTCGACAATAAGTTGTCATGAGCTGTTATATTTCACTATAGAAACGGTACCAAAATCGTCTCATATCTAACTTAATTATCGGGAGCTGTTATACTTCACTATAGGGATGGTATCAAAATAGTAGTATGTATTATTCAGTTGTTGGGATCTGATAATATTCGATATAGGATTGGTACCAACATAGTAGCAATATGGAATCGGATACATTCCATATTAGTTGCCGGGATCTGTTAATATTCGATATAGGATTGGTACCAAAATAGTAGCATGTATTACATAGTTGTCGGGAGCTGTTATTTATCAATATACGATTGTTACCAACACATGAGCGTGTATTATTCACTTTTGCGGCTCATATGAACACTTAAAGAGTCTAAGGAGTCTAAGAAAAGGCTGATGAATCCGAGTCTGGTGCACTTCTAAGATGGAGCTTGATTGGTTACTTAGTTGATCCTCTCGACCAGACTGTAAATGACCCTGTGAAGGGGATGATCGTTCATAAGTAGCTGTTTCAGTTTATCATACTGAGAACACACATTATATTTGTGCATCTGTGCCTTGTGTCATTGGTTGACTGCTCTTCTATCGAGGCCATAAAACGTCAAGTTACCTAGACATCAGTGGTTCAAACTAATTTTGTCCCATTCAATCACAAGATCCGATGTTTGCATGCTCCTGTTCAGTGCATTTCCTCTCCTCATAAAACAAAATTCTGATGGCCAGCAAATTCTTGTATTGTTCCATCGAGTGCAGCCTTAAACGCAGAAACTTCAGCAGCACCTGTTAAATCAGAATAATGCAACTTATGTGGATACCATATCGAGTGTGTAAGACAGCGCCCTCTAATAGATATGTGTACTATTGTCTAACTTTCTGACTTCATAACCTCTTGCCAATTTATGTAACACTGTGCCGCCTCCTAGGAATAGACATTCTTTCTTGCACAAGAATGGCACATTTGGGCATTTCAACGGAAATGAATCATATGGCACTTGGTCTCCTTTACACTCTGGTTTATCACCAAAAACTTACAGTAGTGATGTTCCCACTTGTACAGATAATCTAATGGGGCAATGGCTTTAGTTGGGACATGTGGGAAAACTGAACGATTCTTTGATGTAGTGTCAAATTTGCCACTCCAACTAATATCACTACCCTCTGCAGATGAATAAATTGACAGTGGTATAAAAGTAGCACTATGCTCAGGTCCAGGGATAATACAAATTTAATGTACCGCCTCATATATTTTTATTTATATGTCTCATATATTTATTTATCCTAAGAATACGTAATTTCTCTATTCATTGCAGCCTCAGCATCTTACTGCAACTGACTCAACGGCAAAACTATTCTATCTACGCCTTTACGCTATTTTACCACCTCACCCAACATTATTCTGTCACCTACTATACTGTCCCTCTCAGCTTATCCCTCATGCTAACAGCCTCCTCTGGCCACTTTCAGTCGCACGCCCCTCACGGCCTCCTTGTATTACCTACTATACTATGCCAGGCCTTTGCAACCGACATTGCACTTTTGAGTCTGGCCCCTCTCGGCCTCACTCTTGCACCAACAGCCAATTCCCGGCCACTTCTTTCTATCACTATTTTTGCTGTAGTTTTACTGTCTTTTACTGACTCACCCTACATTACCCTCTCGTCTTTACCGGCCTTTGCGATCTTTTACCATCTCACTCGACATTACCTTCTTGCCTGCATCCCCTCCCGACCTACCCCTAGAACCAACGCCCCTTCCCGGCCACTCGCTCTCGCAAACCGCCCACTTGCGATCTTATACCACCTCAAGTTTCCCATTCGATGACAGCTACTTTTTGTATCGCCTATTATTCTATCCAGTCCTCGTGATATTTTGCCGCCTCAACCGACAATGTCCTCTCCTCAAAACCTCACACAACATTATCCTCATTCCCTCGCACTCCGATCTCTCTGCTCTTCCCGGCTTTCTCGTATTGCCTACTATTCTATCCCCGCCTTTGAGATCTTTTACCGCCTCACCAGACATTATCCCTTTGTCTCCGTCCAATCCCGGCCACTACCTCGTGCCAACAGACCATTCCCGGTCACACGCACACCGCTCCTCTTTGTATTGCCTAATATTTTGTCGTAGATTTTACGATCTTTTACCACCTCACCATATGAATAGAATATCATTCAGGTATCCGTACGTACGTACGTATGTAAATTTTTTCTCGTGGACAACTAACTAGCGTGTATATTCAACTTACGAAAAGCTGAGGCACACGGGCTCACGGACGACCTGTTGTAAAATCGGTCCCATTTGCACTGCGAGCACATTTGTTACGTCTGAATATCAATACTAGTATTTCGGGTATAATGCTTAACAATTGACGTGTATACTTATAATTTAGAAACTACATAATATACAAATTGTGAATTTACGTCTTGTCAATGTATGTCTCCAGTACTCGTCCCACAGTGGGTGGCTCCCGCAATCTACTGTGACATCATGCGCGATTTAATTCCGAATTCTCGATTAGGGCTCATTGGACCGGGGAGCAGTTTTCTACGTCACATAAGACGTTAGTTAATGTGTGCACAACACGAGTCGCTTGTACAAGAGTGACGTTACATTTTTGTTTTGTATATCATATGCCGTTTCTGTTTGGTTATACTGCCCTCAACGTTATTTTATCATTTGAAATGAAATTCTGGATGCTGATTTGTAATTGTTTCTAAGTGCTTCAGTTATGGAGTTTGCACTTCGGTTATCGATAGCTCGGCATTTATGCGTTGTGTTGTCTGCTAGCTCACCGAACACTCACTTTGTGTGGATACTGATGTACAGTTTATGTATATTTGTAATGTCATAATTATGTTTTATTAATTCATATTCATGCTTAACATAAGAAAATCTGTCCAAGCCTTACATGTATACATAAATCTGATTTGAGAAGAGAAACATATTTGGCAAGTTCGGCCATTATTTACGTGCAATGTCAACAAATAATGAACGTGAAAGAGAAATGTTTTAGAAAGTGTGTGTTCACTTAGAGTTATTCAATGGGTTATTCGGATAACTAATCCTAATAAGACAAACTAATCCTAATGGAAAAATACCTAATCCCTATAGGATTAACCAATATAGGTAGGACAAACTAATCCTAATAGGAAAAAATAATCCCAGTTGAACAAACTAATCCCAGTAGAACAGACTAATCTCAGTAGAACAAACTAATCTCAGTAGAACAAACTAATCCCGTAGAACAAACTAATTCCAGTAGAACAAACTAATCCAAGTAGAACAAACTAATCCTAGTAGAACAAACTAATCCCGTAGAACAAACTAATCTCGTGGAACAAACTAATACCAGTACAATAAACTGATACCAATATGGGTAGGACAAACTAATCCCGTAGAACAAACTAATCTCAGTAGAACAAACTAATCATGCAGGACAAACTAATCCCAGTAGAACAAACTAATCCCGTAGAACAAACTAATCCCGTGGAACAAACTAATCCCAGTAGAACAAACTAATCCCAGTAGAACAAACTAATCCCAGTAGAACAAACTAATCCCGTGGAACAAACTAATTCCAGTAGAAACAACTAATCCCAGTAGAACAAACTAATCACAATATAGGTAGGACAAACTAATCCAAGTAGAACAACTAATCCCGTAGAACAAACTGATTCCAGCATAACAAGCTAATCCTAGTAGAACAAACTAATCCCAGTAGAACAAACTAATTCCAGTAGAACAAACTAATCTCGTAGAACAAACTAATCTCGTAGAACAAACTAATCTCGTAGAACAAACTAATCTCGTAGAACGAACTAATCCCAGTAGAACAAACTAATCCCAATAGAACAAACTAATTCCAGTAGAACAAACTAATTCCAGTAGAACAAACTAATCCCAGTAGAACAAACTAATCCCAATAGAACAAACTAATTCCAGTAGAACAAACTAATCCCAACAGAACAAACTAATTCCAGTAGAACAAACTAATCCCAGTAGAACAAACTAATCCCAGTAGAACAAACTAATCCCAATAGAACAAACTAATTCCAGTAGAACAAACTAATCCCAACAGAACAAACTAATTCCAGTAGAACAAACTAATCCCAGTAGAACAAACTAATC